GTATGCTCATCTAGTATATATTGATCTTATGCTCATTTTGTAAATGTCATATCAATGCATTTTTAAAGTACTATTCTACATTAGATTCACATATTGAAATTCATAGGAGTTGATTATAAATATAATGTAATAAGTTTTTGTAGAAGTTATGAAGCAGAGATCACGATTCTGAATATTAAACTCCTAATACTCAACATAATAGGTTTGTTGCTCATTAACAGTTCATTAATGCTCATTCACCAGAAATCGTGATTTTTATGTCAATAGCGGAGGTTTGATGCTCAATTAAAATGTCGTGATGTTCAGCTAACAAACCTTACGATTTTCATATCAATGTGCACTTTGTAAGTTATGTATGCTCATTTGGTGCTGATGTTATTCTTATTTTTTAATTGTTATATCAATGCATATTTCAAAAGTATCATATTAAATTAAACTCGCATATTGAAATTAATTGGAGTGTATTATAAATATAATTTAATAAGTTTTTATAAAAGAAAAAATAAGAAAAAGAAAAAAAGAAGAAGATATGAAGCAGGGGTCGTGATAATCATTGTTAGTCTCTTAAATACTCAATAAAATAGGTCTGGTGCTCATTAAAAATATACTATTGCTCATTTAGCGGAAGCCGTGATTTTTCGCTTAAATTACAAAAATGCCACCGAATTCTTTTTGGCCTGTATCAGCTATTGGACTGTCTTCCTTAGTTGGGTCGGGTGTACGTACACCCGGATGTACCGTATAGGCACTCGTTGGGTGTTGTCTAATTGGGCCAATGATTGTTTTCTAAATCATGTCCAAAATTGGGCTGGGTAATATAGATGATCCTCATTCTTAGGTTGTTAAAATTATCATTATCATTATCATTTTAATATTTTATTAAAATACAAAATTGTGCAGTTTTTTTATTAATAACTCTTAATTATTAATAATTGTTAATTATTAAATTTTTAGTAATTCATTATTATTTGTAATTACGAATGTAACACATTTATCGGTGTGGTTCACTTTCTTTTATTAGGGCATTGACTTTATCTAATTTATGTATTTATAAAAAAACTAGATAATTTTGATTTATATGTATTTATATGTATATATTATTTAAACAATTTTTTTCACTAAGTTAAAATTAAATTAATTGAAATTCTCTTTCTTTGCTTTTAGTACGCGGAAAACACTGATTGTAGGGTCGATTGTCACCATCCTTCTCGAGTGGTTGGAATCGATTCCAGATCTCCTTAATGTACAAGATCAATGGCAAATGAAGGAATCTCTAATATTTTAGTAGACAAAACAAAAAGTATTTAGCTTCTTGGTTTATACTATGTTCGTTCCTATTACTTATGTTGTATTTAAAATGTTGGGTTTTAAAATAACGTAGGTTTACGTTTTTTATATTTTAGTTGTTAGGGATGTTATGTCGTAATTAGCTATGCTTGGATGTCCAATTCAAGGTTTTCATGTTAATGGGTGTAATTCATTACGTTGTTAAGATTTTAGAATTTTAGAAATTTAAATTTAAATTTAATTTTTTGAATAAGATGTCAATCTGGTGTTCCAAATCATGAGTTGACTCTAAAGGTTGGTACTTCATTTATGCTTCTAAGGAACATTGATCATTTTATGGCCTTATGCAATAAAACGAGGTTGATTATTACAAGGTCTGAAAATCATGTTCTTGGAGCTACAATTTTAGGAGGAAAATTTGATCGACATGAAGTAGTCACAGTGAGATTGACAGTAACATCTTTAGATGCAAGAATACCATTGAAGTTCCAAAGAAGGCAGTTTACAATCATGAGCTCTTATGCGATCACTATAAACAAGAGTTAAGGTCAATCTCTTTAACATGTTGAACTTTTACTAAAAAAATAGTCTTCACTCATGGTTAATTGTATGTTGCAGTGTCAAGAGTTACCAATCGCAAAGGGTTGAAAATATTGATCCGTGATGAGGTTGATCAACAGATCGATCATACTACTTATGTTGTTTACAAAGAAGTCTTTCATAATTTGTAGTTTCACTATGAACACTTATTATTTTACTTATCACTTTGTGCTTTCACATGTTAAATCTCTTTTATAATATTAACATTTTCCTTTCTTCGACGACGTTTTAATCTCTCTTTAACTACAAACACTTATTACACTACGTATTACTTACCACTTTATTCTGAGTTCAATTATTTTTGCGTTTTTATAATAGACTTCTTAATCACACATTTGTAAATTTTCATTCGTGCATCACACGGCTGAGAATCTAGTCAATACCAAATGAGCATACATAACTTACAAAGTGCACATCGATATGAAAATCATAAGGTTTTGTTAGTTGAACATCACGACATTTTAGTTGAGCATCAAACTTCCGCTATTGAGATGAAAATCACGGTTTCTTGTGAATGAGCATTAATGAACTTTTAATGAGCATAAGGCCTATAATGTTGAGTATTAAGAGTCTAATATAAAATTGTACTTTTAAAAATGCATTGATATGACATTTAGAAAATGAATATAACATCACGACATTTTCATTGAGGATCAAACCTCCTCTATTAAGATGAAAATAATGGTTTCTGTTAAATGAGGATTAATGCACTTTTAATGAGCATGATATCAATTCTGTTGAGCATTAGTTTCATAAGCATTGATATGACATTATAAAATGAGCATAACAACAGTCCTGAATGAGTATACATAAATTATAAAATGAGAATTGAAAAATTCAAAAGCTCATTTAAAATCTCTAATGTGCTCAAATATTCATTTGTGTAACAATGAGAAATATAATAAATTCTAGTTTCAAAATAATTTTTAATTTGTCATTCTTGAATTACAAAATTAATCATATTCTTTTTTACAATATGTTCATTTCAGTATAACACAATACTCATGTTCACAATGAGCACACAATATTAAAATAACTAACACACAAATTTATTAAACTAACAAATATTCATCTCAAAATTAAAATAGAAAAAAATCGATACCTAAAATATTTTATAATGCACAATTTAAAGAATTAACATAAGTTATAAAGGAAGGTTAATTAGAAAAAGAAAAATAAAAAAACAGGGACCTTAAGTTGCAGATTTTATATTGCGAATATTTATAAATTAAAATTAATGAAAAAAGTTGTTAAGAAAAAGAATGAATACGCAAGGATTGAAGAAAGAATACGCAGATAAAAATTGTCAAGAAAAATAAAGAATACTCAGGCATGTAGGGAAAAGATAGGAAGAATAAGCACTCAAGAACTAAATTGTCATTCAAATTAGAAAGAATTGCAAAAATATCTGTGTGTACATGTACACCCGCGTGACGGTATAACTTAGGGAAAGTTCCCAAAATAAAACTAAAATAGCTTGAAAATTCCAAAATAGGACTGTCATGTTTTTTATTCTCAAAATAGGAGTAATTACTGCCAAGTTTAGAAAATATTGTCATGTTTGAAGTCTGGTACTGCCAAAACATGGCAGTAATTAGTCCTATTTGGGGAATAAAAACATGACAGTTCTATTTTGGAATTTTCAAAATTTTTTAGTCCTATTTTGAGAAATATTCTATATAATTACGATCAATATTACTCGTAAGTCTTCCTCTAACTACTCTCGTTAATAGTTATTCCATAGGATAGATAAGTAGAAAAATAACGATCAAAGTTTCTCACAGATTTGATAATTTTCGCCTCTTTCTCCTTCAGCCTGCAATTCTCCTGAGATATGTTGCTCGACGGTGCGATTGGGAGTAGGCTACTTTGGATTTTTGCTAGCTTTTCAAGAAGTTCTCATACGAGTGTTGAGTGAGAAACTTGCCTCCATCTTCTTCGGCTTGGTAGTTCTGGAGCCATTTGCATGTCCATTTAGAAGAAGAGAGAGCACCAAGACAAAAATTTGTAGTAGTAAAGATTAATTAAATAAGAGTAACAAAAGTTTGTAGTTATGGGAGATGGTGGAAGCTATGATCGTTAATGGTAATAGCAATGTAATGAGATATTTTGTCATTCTCCGCCATCTTATTACTAAAGTATATTTATTTGAAATATTTAGTACAATTGAGAATTTAGAAAAATTTAAAACATGAAATACATTTTCTAATAAATAATAATCAATCAGAATCTCCGTCATCTTCGGTTGCTTCTTCCATAAAATGACGAGTGGGGGCGATGCTCACTTCTTGCATTCTACGTTGGGCATTCAACCAATCGTGGAACGGTGGAAGCAAACAAACGTCTCAAGAGAATTTGCGTTCAATCCCGTTCTATAATTGGTTAGCATGTTACCGGCCACATTAAATTCTTGTTCCACGGCTACTGTTGATACCGGCGGCATTGCTAGCACTTGCTTAACCATCTTTGATAAAACCGAGAACGTTCTTTCTTTTTCCTTCCACCACTTTAGAACGTCAATGTCATCCCCTTCTTCATACTCAACAGGAAATGGTAGATACATAGAAAACTCATTAAACGAGCTTTGTTCAATAACGGAAGTTGGTTTACTTTTTTCATAAGATTGCTAAATGTAGATTTCAAAAATGATTTTCCTTTAGATGAAGATTTCATGTCGAAGGAGAAGGTGTGTTACCATATTGTGCATAAAGCTCTTAAAATTATTGATGAAATAAATTACTAACCTCGTTGCTATAGAGCCGTTTGGGACTTTTCCCAACGGCTAGAAGGCTGCCAATTATTTTTTTTTATTTTTTTTATTATAATATAGCCGTTAGAGGCCCAGACCGGACCCGGACCGGCCGGTTCATGATTTTAAAGACCCGAAGCCCGCCCAAACAGAGCCCCGGTTCAAGTCTAGTGGACCAGGCCCGAACCCGATTGGCGGGCCGGGCCACTCGAAACCGGTCCAACCCTATGTTATACGCCTTGACAATATTCAAGTTTCTCCATGTCCCTTCCTCCCCAATCCTGTCCTGGGAATGATATCAGATGGGACCTCAGCGTACAACAAGTTTGATGGAATTTGATGAAATTTCGAGATGCTTTCAGGATTGATTATAAAAGAGATTAAACTTTTTGCCAAAAAAAAAGAGATTAAACTTCACCTTCAAACAGACCAAAGAAAATATTTGTTAAAACTTCACAAGCTTAATTTAGATTTGTGTTATACCCAAAACAATGTCCAAAATATTAAATGTCAATGACACACATGTCTTCCCATTACAGCATGGCTTTGATAAACTTCAATGAACACAAGGGAAAAAAGAGCCAAGAAGGTGATCACTTCTTCTTCCCAGCTTTACCCTCCTTTCTTCTAATAACTTCATTTGCGTACTTCACACCTTTGCCTTTATACGGCTCGGGAGGCCTCCATTTCCTAATAGAGGCAGCAAACTGACCGATGGCAGATTTGTCGTATCCACTTACAGTGATTCGGGTGTTATCCTCTACCTTAACCTGCAACCCATCAGGGATTGCCATCCTAACTGGATGAGAGAATCCAAGGTTAAGGACTATATCTTTCCCTTCAACCATTGCACGATACCCTACACCAACCAACTGCAGTTTCTTGTCAAACCCCTTTGACACACCCACTATCATGTTGTCAGTAAGTGTCCTGCCAATCCTATATTAGTTTACTGTAATAAAATTTCGGAATGCACATGCCATTTTAACCTCTCAGTCGCTCACTAAATTAAAGCGTGCAAGATGCATAATACCAGGAGTTAAGAATAATCAACCTACACATTCTCATCTGATATCTCTATAATTCAATCAAGAAAATAAAGCAATAATAATTAGATCCATTATGAACAATAATTATCATATTCCCTGAATTCTTTCTGATGTACAAAATTTTAATAAATATCTCAGAAAAGATGAAGGACTTGATTAATGAATATGGACTGTAACTGTGAGCCGATTTCCAAATCATCTGCCTTCTTACCTAGTCAATATTTTAAACTAACCACAGTCCAATTAGTATGTTCAGTTTGTTTGACTTCAGAACTGACAGTGCAAGGTATATAACATAAAGCACCAAAAATGCAATCCAAGTCAAATGCTTATATTCAGAACTAGAAACCAACACACTTCTAATCCCACCCATCGTAATGCCCCAGAATTATAAATATACACGTCAAGGCATAAGGTTTTTCATTTTACCAGTGCTATACTTGGTTCATTAAAGATGCTGGTTAATCTAAAAAGTTAAACTTAATGGAGGATACAAAAGGTGAAAGATGTTTCGCCTTATAACTGCCTCAGTTGCGCTTACATTCTAAAAACAAGTAGCTTTATGCTAAATATTTATGAGTGTCCCACACCGTACAAACATTTACAGTAAAACTACTTCCTCGCTGTTAAATCTATATAGTCAAAACTCAAAATGTTATAGCATATTAGTTTGAAAGGTAAAACATATATCCAGTTCATATAATAAGTAGTTCACTAATGTAATATGGCATCATCCTTCAGTCCCTTACTATTGTTCCTGGTTTGGCTTAACACGACTTTTTATAGACCTTTTCTTTTTTGCTTTTTAATTTTCCTAATTTACCCTTAAATGAGGGCAGTAAAGTAAATGGATGACTTACTTTTTCCCAAATAAGTAAAGAGAGTTTATTTGAGAACAAACCGAAAAGGAAAGTATGATCTTTATTCAGGGACAGAGGGATTGTAAGATACATTAGGGTTAGGCATGAGTTTTACAAAAGTAGACTTGTTACTCTAGACTTGTAAACTCCAAAAAGCATGAAAAGGTAGTATAGCTCTACAAAAGTAGAAATATGAAATGATAGATAAAAGAATAAAGTCTGAAAGTAAAAAAAGTTAGTAGAGTTCAAATTAGGAAAGTGTTCATATTTTTTAGAGCGATGAAAAAGGGAAGTGTATCTCATGAAGTGAGACAAAGGGAGTACATAAGAAGAAAGATGGGGTTGAAGGGGCCAAAACCTGAATAAACCATGCATCTCGTTAGCCCTTCTTGTCTCCACAACCTTTATGATGCGGAGGGATCCAGATTCCTCCTTCTCCAGCTTCACTTCTCGTGGGTAAGTAAGAGCCATCTCTCCTAGAGGGCCTCTAACTTTAAAACCTTGCCCTTCCATTGTGATTGACACATTGGACGGAACTGCAATTGGTTGTTTACCAATCCTTGATTCCTTGCATTCCACCTTCTTCCTTAATGTACTGTTTTGACCAATGGTGAGAGTGGAGACACGGATTCGACTAGCATCCCCAATGAAATCAGACCTTAGGTTGCTGTCTTGGAACAACAATGATGTGCTTTCAGACACATACACAAGAAGAAAGATGTGTATGTATGCTTACATATATTCATGGGGAAAATACAGTTTTAAGACTGCTATAACATGCATTTTCCGAATATATGACAAGAAAACTTAAGCATCTGACGCGTGAGTAAAAAACACAATCAAGTCATGCAGACATGTGAGGGAAAGACTAAAAGAGTGATGCTAAAATAACTACTTAACTAGTATAGTACATGTGCGATGCACGGGATATTATTTCCAAAATATTTAAAATTAATGTATTAAGAGCCCATTTGGTAACGCTAAATTTGGTTAGATTGGGTTATATTGAAAATATATTCTATTGATAATATAAAGAAAAAATTAAATGAAAAATAGTTAAAATCATCTTCTAAAGTGGCTTCGGCCAATTCAATCAGAAAAGTAACTTCAACCTAACTTATTTTGATATTACACAAAACTAATGTTATCACCTCAAGGTACTAAATATATTTAGTGTGTTTCTTAGATTGGAATAAAAAAACTCACAAAGTATACAAAAATAATTATATAGATTAATTTTTTCACATTGCAGTTGATGAAATGTTCAGTCCACCCCAAACGACTTCATCATCTCCCATTTATTTTTATGCCTCCGAGTTGTTTTATATTAATGGAGATAAAGTACATTCTAAAAATGAGTAATAATAAAACCTATTTAAAAAATCAGGCCCATTTTACAATTAGCACAAAAAAAACATACAATTACTCTACTTCCCTTGTCTCTCCCCTCCCGCCCCCACAGATAAGCCCTTCCTTAGCTTCTCCCAATGACCCTCTCCCACTCCTGTCTACTCATGTAGCATGCACAAACATTTTTATGCAACCTCCATTTGCATATTTATTTATGAATAAACATTTTTTTAGAAGCTCGTAGAAACTAAACAGCCTGCAGATATAGAAATAAGTTTCCTAGAGAACTACTACATGGCAAAAAATAAACAGGTCAGGCAATTAAATGTTTCACTTAAGTGTGTTCCGCACAGCTCGCTCAAATTGGCTCCCAAGCAGTCTGTGCACTATTCCGTTTTAAAATATAAAAAATATAGACTTTGAAACGGATACAAAAGGGATACAAATACACCAAGACACCATTACTTCAAGAAACAAAATCTGACACCCCTTACTTCAAGAAACAAAACCTGACACCATTACAAATACATGAAAGAACCATTTGCTACAGAGACATACAAAATTATCGTTTACTAATGCTTATTTCTGAGTTCAATTGTTCCCAACCAGTATTAAGCTACAGATTGGGAAAAGGTTGCCAAGACTCAAATGGAAAGCCTTTGACTAATCAGATTCGGGCACTCAACAGTAATACTAACATTTTCCCACACTCAATTTCCTTCATAAAACATTCCATCGAGAAAATGCAGCATTCTAGCAGAGAAGCATCGGGAAGGATAAGAACTTATATGATGGTTCGAGTAGTAACCCGGCCAGGTCGGAAACCAAGAATACTCTTGAGAGATTAATGGAGAGAAATTCAACATTACCGTGTTAAAACGGCATTCTTGCACTGAGTTGTTCCCACAAATGGAGAAACCGCGATGGCGGAAACTGATGAGGAGAGCACCGCAACCGTCTCCATTGCAATAGAATACTCCAAACATAATTCGAGTAGGCTAACATGAATACACACTATAAGAGCTAAAAAGATAAATAGAATACCTCTCACTTCTTATTTGAAGATCTTATATCATTTTAGTAAGTTTTCTTCACAATTTCTAGCACAATATCTAGATATAGGCATTGTGGTTGACATTACACGAAAACTTACCAAAAACACATAAGACCGTAAAAGACGGAAAGAAAAATGTCATGAAATTAATATTTTGTGTTTATCTCTCTCATGCCACATGTGCACCGTGCACATTGTAGCATTGGAAATGCTCTAAATGGATAGGGTGTGTGAATTACTCTGTAGTATTTTCATGTTCTTTTGAACGTTCTTAAATGATCATTTAATTTAAGCATTAAGTATTAAAAATCATATATTTATAGCATCATAATTATCATCACTGATTTCATTATATTATAAGTACCCGTGCGATGCACGGGATATATCTAGAATTAAATAATGACTTAATTAAAATTATGTTTTATGATGGTAGATAATGTGTAACTTTGTCGAACATAAAAAAGATGATTAAATTTATATGATGTTACTTTTAGTAATTATATATACGAAGTATGTAGTAGTAGTTGTAATAAAATGCAAAAGGGGATCGTAAAAATTCAAGTAAAATTAAAATAAACGATAAGGAATGACCAATAACTCTATGTGACAATGAAATAACTTGATAGTACAAAAAATAGTAGGCCTCATGAGACTTTTTTTTGCTATATTTTCCGACATATATAGTATCTGTTCTATTAAACGATAACATCATAGGACGTACAGATCGGTGGCCGACAATATGCTAGCACATGTAGTGATGATTAGCGGTTTGCAGCAATGAAAACTTTGGGACATTATTTAAAGAGGAAAATAGTAGGTGATGGGGTTATGGGACCAGGCCCAGAGCCTAATCGGCCTAGGCCCCGAACTTGGACCAGCAGGCCCAAGCCCAGCAACCCAGAGCTCGAGTCGGCCCAACCAATCAGGGCAATCAAGGAGCGGAAGCCCGAGAGAGCCTGTCGACCAGCCCAGCGGGGAGCCTGCCTTCTAGCCCAGTGGGGTGCCTGCCTTCCAGCCCAGTGAGGAGCCTGTCTTCCAGCCTAGCCAGGAGCCTGCCGACCACCAGCCTAGCTGGGAGCATGCGGTCCAGCCCAGGTGGGAGCCTGCCTCCAGCCCAACGGGGAGCCTGTCTTCCAGCCTACCCGGGAGCCTGCCTTCCAGCCTACCCGGGAGCCTGCCTTCCAGCCCAGTCGGGAGCCTGCCTTCCAGCCCAGTGGGGAGCCTGCCTTCCAGTCTAGCCAGGAGCTTGCCGACCACCAGCCCAGCTGGGAGCCTGCGGTCCAGCCCAGGAGGGAGCCTGTCTCCAGCCCAACGGGGAGCCTGCCTTCCAGCCTACCCGGGAGCCTGCCTTCCAGCCTACCCGGGAGCCTGCCTCCAGCCCGGTCAGAAGCCTTCCTCCAGCCTAGCGGGAAGCCCACCGTCCAGTCCAGCAGGAGGGAGCTCAAGCGTCCAGCCTGCCAGTCAGGCTGACCTGCCAGCCAGGAAGAGTAACGGCCAACAATCAATGCGCTATTAATTATGTGTTTAATTCTGTATTAATGTTGTAATTAATTAGTCATTAGTGTCTCTGGCAGTTACCATTTGTAATCGCCTATAAAAGGCAAGTCCGAATTTCAATGAGATATGTTATTTCTGGCTAACTTTTCATATTCGTATTTTCCTAATTCTTGCTTGAGTGTCGTACGTAGCTTTCCTAAAAGCCTACGAGCGTCCTATTTTGGACCATATACCCCATCACTGATTTTCATTGTTCATTTATAGACATGGTACTTTCCCACCATGGTGTGGTCTTAAATTAGTAATATTGCATCTATTTCATTATATTTCACTACTTTTTACTATATATACATGCATGACTACATGACTATGTGGATATGACTTGGGAGAGGGAAACTCGGTTTTCCAAGTTGACGCCTAACTGATGACTAGTTACTAATTAGCCTAGGCTAGGTAGTGCATGGCCGTCCGACTAGCGCCAAGCGAGTTACAGAACATTGACTAAAATACACATCAAGAGTAACACACATGAACAATATTTTTTTTATCCCAGCAGCATAGTGATTCGAGACGATATATTGTGGTCATGAATGAACTTACAAAGTTAATTCAAGATGATATATTGTGGTGCATGATGTTTGCCAATGATATTGTATTTATTAATGAGACAAAATCAGGTGTTAAAGCAAAGTTAGAACTATGTTGATAAACATTGGAGAACAAGGGTTTTAGACTGAGCCGAAGCAAGATGGGGTGAGATGTTGGAGCAAAAACGAGTTGCAGAAGAATGATTGAGGCTAAGGGGCTGAGGTGGTGCTGGCGGCGATTGACAAGGCAGGGGAGGAGCTAGTAGGCCTAGGGACAGGGCTGGGGAGGAGGACTGGAAAGGTAGTGGTGAGGCTAATAGAGCAGGCAATGACGAGAGGTGGTGGCAGGGGCGGCAATGCGATGAGTCGTCGGGGCAATAACTGGTCACTGAGCACCAGAAAATCCGTCAGATTTTTTTTTTCAAACTAACATGTGTCACGATCAAAATGACATCCCTAAATAATAGAAATATAAGAGCGAGAACCTTCACTAGCATGAGAAGAGAAAACCACATTTATATACTTCATCCGTCTCTCAAAACTTTATTAAGTTTAATCGGCGCAAGATTAATAAAGTAAAAATTGTGTGATTCAAATTTATACAGAAGAAAAAGAATTAACTAGAATTACATATTTTTTACTGGAAAATGATAGTAGTGCATTCCAAGGTTATGTTTGCACTTGGGCCTGTGAGATTAACGGTCGTACAAATACACCCCTCTTCAAACGGATTCACTGCATTTGTTAGGGTTTTCAGGAACTGGATCTCAATGGCGGATAAGGAAGTAGTGGTGGTGGCGACATCGGTTCTGAACTCTGACAATCTCAAACGGAAGCTTGAGGATCTGGGACCAGCAGCTCCAGGCGTGTTGGTCTCGAAAGAGGAGCCCGGGCCAGATTTGGCCGAGAAAACCGACTCGGAGGTGAAGGAGGGCGTACTTGGTGAAAGGGTCGTTCAAGATGATGGTTCTGAAGTCAAGCGACCTCGTCTTGAGGAGAAAGCCGGTGAAGTAAAGAAAGCGGATGAAATGGGTATGCTTGCAATTTTTCTTCTTGTACGGAGCTCAAAGATATGGTTACCTATTAATGAATTCAATGATTGCGTTCAAACATGCAAATATGAATTTCTATATTATTCATGACAATTTGATCGATGTTTTGTATCATCACTCAAAGCACATGTATACGCGGACTGTTCATTGCTTCCTTTGGACTTCTGATTTGTTTTAGGCTCATAGCTTTTGTCTTGAATTTTTTGTACGGTGCCTTCGTACAATCTGAATCATAACGGTTTTCTGATGCTATCTTTCTGGATATCCAGGTGCTGAGAATGGGAACACAGAGGATAAGTCAGGGGAGTCCAAAAAGGATAATAGTACGCAGTTGGATAAGAGTCCTGAGGTGGCTAATGAACACACAGAAGAGAAGAAAGGGGATGGTTCAAAAGTGGATGATACTGTAGAGAAGCCAGCTTGTTTGGACAGTAGTTTACATTTAGGTAATAGTATTTCACCATTAGATAATGGTTCCAAGTTGGATAATGAAGCTCCCAAGACTACTATCTATAGACAACAGACTCCAATTGTTGATGATTTACAAACGACCAACATTCAACAATCTAGTAGTAACGAAAAGGAGTTGCATAATACACCTGAGGTAGACAATGAAGCTCCTAAGACTGTTATCAGTGAACAACTTGCTCGAAATGATTTACAGACGAGCAATGATCAACCATCCAACAATAGTGAAAAACCTGTGACTTATGATAATTCAGTAGAGCAATCTAAAAGTGAAGATCAGGAGGCCCCTTCTTGTGTTTCTCAACATGGAGATGTTCCAAATGATCAAGAGAAGAATCTAGTATTGGATACCCAAGCAGTTTCACACAAAATGGAGGTCCCCAATAACAAGGTTTGTGGAGAAAGCTGCTAGTGCCTACTCTCTGCAACTACTTTCAAGCATGCATTTTTCTAAAAGGGAAAAATAATTCAAATACCCCAAACATCCCAAACTTTGAAGGGGTGTGAAGTAAATACCCCAAACTTGCATATGTAATTTAAATACTTCAAATTTTACAAAAAAAGTTATATTAGCACCATGATTATATATGATTTCTTTCAAAAATGTGAACTTATGGTGTTAATTACATAACTTAAATAGTTTAGCATTCGTGAAGATATACTTAACATTTTAAACTTCCATTGTGAATAAATAATATTACGTACCCTCAGTCTATATAATTGTAACGCTTAATAATTGAAATAAAAACATTTTAAATTAAACAATTAATACCATAAAATCACATTTTTGAAAAAACAACATATGGCCATAGTGCTAAAAAACTTTTTATGTAAAGTTTAGGGTATTTAAATTACACAAGCAAGTTTGGGGTGTTAACCTCACACTTCTTTAAAGTTTGGAGTATTGGAATTATTTTTCCCTTATTTTTAAGGACATGATGTACTTGTTTTCCTCATTTTGTGGTGGGCGCAGGTTGGTGTGCTCATTGGAAAGTCTGGAGAAACTATTAGACATCTGCAATACAATTCTGGTGCCAAAATTCAAATCACACGTGATGCTGATTCTGACCCCCATTCCATAACTAGGTCTGTCACGCTAATTGGAACTATGGAAAGTATAAACAAGGCTGAAAAATTGATTAAGGATGTCATAGCTGAGGTATGTCACACTTTTATAATTTGTTTAATGGCTGTTTAACCTATGCTGTTTAGTATACATGCACAGCGGATTCAGCCAAATAATATTTTACACCTTTTTCGGATGTTTAACTGAATGTTTTCTTCTCTAGGCTGATGCTGGTGGATCTCCTTCCCTTGTGGCTAGGGGCTTCAACCCTGTGCAATCTGTGGTT